GGCTGTGGAAAGAACATGTTTGTCCCTGGAATATCTGCTTCCTTTCCTGCCTTAGAGATGTGGTGACTGGCGTCCTTGTCTGACTCTACCCCTCTGTTGAACAGCACTGTTTACTGTCATGGGGCCTACTGACCCCATCCTGGCCATGGTGGGAGAAAACACGACGTTACGCTGCCATCTGTCTCCCGAGAAAAATGCTGAGGACATGGAGGTGCGGTGGTTCCGGTCTCACTTCTCCCCGGCAGTGTTTGTGTATAAGGGTGGGAGACAGAGAACAGAGGAGCAGATGGAGGAGTACCGAGGAAGAACCACCTTTGTGAGCAAGGACATCAGCAGGGGCAGCGTGGCCCTGGTCATACACAACGTCACAGCCCAGGAGAACGGCACCTACCGCTGTTACTTCCAAGAAGGCAGGTCCTCCGATGAGGCCATCCTGCGCCTCATGGTGGCAGGTGCGTTGCTTCCTTTTGCTTTGTTACTTTAGCACAGTGTGACTCTTGGGGAAAGTTTCTCTCCTAACCTCAGGCCCGTAGCAGACCAGCACAATCCTCTTTCCTGGGTCCCCTTTCCACAGGCAGATTCTTCATGGGCACTTTCCCTATGGAAAGAACATTCCAGGGAAAAATCCTTCCTCCTGCATAAGGGCCACCATGAGTGGGTTTGCCCTGCTAAGCTGTGGGCTTCACTTCTTGGGAAGCACATGCAGAACTCAGCTGAGGCCATGAGCAGGGGAATTTGGTGGATTTCGGAAGAAGAGTCTCATGCCTGCCTTCGCACTGAGCTGTGCACGTCTGAGAGTGAGAGGAGACACTTAGTAATTGTCCTGGGACAACTGGAATAAACAAGGACTGACCAGAGAACTAAGACACATCAACTCTTATTTCTTGGTAAATATGAATCCTGACCTCTTTCCTGGAAAGCTGATTGCAGATAGAGTGACTAATATGTAAATAGATGGCTTTATTAAAGGAAGACTTAATACAGAAGCAAAAAAAAATTTTTTTTTTAGATGGAGTCTTGCTCTGCTGCCCACACTGGAGTGTAGTGGCAGGGTCTTGGCTCACAGCAATCTCCACCTCCCAGGTTCAAGCAATTCCCCTGCCTCACCCTCCTCAGTAGGTGGGATTACAGGCATGCACCTACATGCCTGGCTAATTTTTGTATTTTCAGTAGAGATGGGATTTTGCCATGTTAGCCAGGCCGGTCTCAAACTCCTGACCTCAGGTGATCCACCCACCTCGATTTCCCAAAGTGCTGGGATTACAGGGGTCAGCCACCACACCCAGTCCAGAAGCAAAATTATATTCCTGCTGACTCCACAGAGAAAGAACAAGAATTTAGCTGGCAGGAAATAGATAAGGTTTCAACATAGAAATGCATTTAAACTGGGATTTCTAGAAATTTGTTAAAATGACATCAAGTGACTACCTCTGTCTTGGGGTTAGTTTATTATGCATTAAAAGATATTTGTGAAGACTGAAAAAGCCTTTAAGGTGCAGGCTAATCTGTGGTGGCATTTCACTCCATCAGACCAGAGGAGGTGGGGACTAGGGAATTAACTTCTTCCCAGGGGGCCTCAAATAACAGGTAGGAAGCTCCATCTTTGCTACTCACAGTGGTAGCCTCGCATCTGATTAAAACAGAATATCGTGGACGGAGGGTTTCTCGACCCTGTGTCATGGAAGACTTGGTAGCAGTACTTCAGGGTTGACCAGTGATAGTTTCTGTGTGGCAGGAATCGCCTAATCTTTCTCTGTAAAACTGTCGCTGGCCTGGCGTTCCCCACTCTGAACTGGGTTGCTTAGAACTATCTGTTTGTTTGTTTATTCTATTCTCTTTGTTGGGTTGATTGGCTGGCTGATTTGCCTGTATCGAACCTCATGGAATGTTTTAAAGAACTTTGTTTTCCAATATGCTGAGTTATTTTAATTCTTATTCTGCCGAGCCTTTAAATGTACAAGTAGTTTTGTCTCTTGATAAAAATTAAAGTGAGCCTGGGCAACACGACAAAACTCCATCTCTTTAAAAAAAAAAAAAAATACAAAAACATTAGCCAGGCATCATGGCATATGCCTGCAGTCCCAGCTACTTGGGAGGCTGAGGTGGAAGGATCACCCGAACCCAGGAAGTTCAGGTTGTGGTGAACGAAGATCACGCCACAGCACTCCAGCCCAGGAAATAGAGTGAGACTGTGTCAAAATAATAATAATAATAATTAATAATTAAACTGAGCCATAGCACTAGACTTCGGTTATTGGTTTAATTTCCTGTCTTTGGTAAAATTGGTTGGGAGACTTAACAAAGGAATTATTGAGAAGAAGTTTGGATGATCACACACGGCTGAAAGGTATCCCAGGACCATGCTTTTGCAGCTCTTTCATACCTGGTGTTCACTTTTGTTGAAGATTCATTTAAAGATGGATTGTAGTTAGGGTTAGTGTAGATTCTTAGGATTTTTGGTGATGGTCTCTGATACTGAAAATGTGGTATGGTTATCTTAATCCCTGGATCATCCAGATCTTTCTAACAAATTGATGTTCTGAAAGTAGTTTAAGAAAATTGCCCTGCCTGGGCAACATAGTGAGGCTTTGTCTCTACAGAAAAATAAAATGGTAGCCAAGCATGGTGGGAACATGCCTGTAATCCTAGCTAGTTGGGAGGCTGAAGCGGGAGGATCTCTTGAGCCCAGGAGTAGAGGGCACAGTGCTGATTTTGCCACTGTACTCCAGCCTGGACAAGAGTTAAACCCTGTCTCTAAAAAAGCAAAAGGAAAACAAAAGAGGCATTGCCTAACAGGTGGAGCCTCTGGGAGGTAAACAGTGTGAATTAGGATTAGAGGTGGCTTTGTGGACCAGCATGTTAAAGCTCCTAAAAGCCATCACCTCCCACGGGTGGTAGACAGTGGTGGTTATGTGAAGTTCTGAGCTAGACAGAAGGGTCAGTGTCTTTGGTCAATAGGTGTCTTAAGATTCTGCTCACTTGGCAGTTTTTTGTCCTTCTTATTATAGTAGAGCTTCTGGAAGCTGAGGCCTACTGAGAAGTCATCTCAGGAGCAGAAAGTGAAATCCACAACCTGTCTGTTTCAAGTTGGAGTCAACGCACCCACCTTGAAGTGAGAAAGTTAGTCTGGCAGGATAAATTGAACAAGAATTTATAGCAAACAGATAGATGCTTGGTGCTTTGATGGGGCTGTAGGTGGACCACAAAGAAAAGGGTGCAATGTGATCCTTTCCTCTTAGAGAGCTCACAGTTCATGTGGCCCACTGGTCTCCTGGTGTTCTCCAACATCAGGGTTCTTTGTTCCTTACCCTCACCCTTTTTTCCCTCTTCCTCTTTCTTGCTTCCTACCTCTGTCTTTTTTTCCTTTGCATTCTCCCTTCACAGAAGAGATGCAATAGGTACTGACACACCACTGCCTCTTGGCTGAGCCCGGTTATCTCTCCCTAGGACTGGGCTCTGAGCCCCTGGTTGAAATGAGGGGTCACAAGGATGGGGGCATCCTACTGGCGTGCATATCCGGAGGGTGGTACCCAAAGCCCTTCACGGTGTGGAGGGACCCCTCCAGTGAGGTCGTGCCTGCCCTGAAGGAGGACTCCACCTCTGACACAGACAGCCTCTTCATGGTCACCACAGCTGTGATCATCAGAGACAGGTCCATGAGGAACATGTCCTGCTCTGTCAACAACACCCTGCTCGGCCAGAAGAAAGAAAGTGTCATTTTTATTCCAGGTAAGTTTTCTGCCTTCTGAGACTTATCTAGTGCATGGGGGATCTTCAGCACACAGAGCCCAGAGCCGGGGTGGGGCAGCAGTGTGGGTGGAATGGTCCTGGGCCCTGAGGAGCTGGAGGCTGCAGCTTAGCTGAGGCCTCTCCCCTTGCCACAAAGGGAGAATCAAAGAGTCCCAGCACTCATCAGTAGAAGCCTCTTCTCTGAGGTTGAACCTGCTATTTTGTTTCTCCCTGCAAGGTCCTTATGCTGCAGCAATTTTTAAACATTGAAAACAACCATAACACATGGAGACTGGTGTGGATAGGTGACTCACTTGGTGCTCCTGTGTGCTGCAGCCCTCCCTTGCTGGAAAATCCCTTCAAAATCCACTGGAAAATCCCACTCATAATGTATTCAACAAATGCTCAAGGAGTATATTTTATGTTCAAGACACTGTTCTAGAAACCAAAGGTAAATCATTGAAGAAAATATATCAAGATCTCTTCCCTTAAAAAGTGATTAAATAATTAATTAACTATGTATTCTATCAGATGGTGATGAACATCTATAGGAAACATTGAGCAAGGAGAGAATAAAGAGGCCGGGGCGTGAGACATTGCAGATATGAACAGAAGGGTCAGGGAAGACGTCACTGTAAAGATGGGAATTGATTCAACCCATCCGATGACAAGGAACCATCAGATGCTTAAGGACTGAGCAACCCAGCTCCAGGAAGAGCATATGCAAAGGGCCTGGGGAAGGAACATCTCTGGCAGTTTCCAGGACCCCCAGGAGGTGATGCTGGTGTGGCTGAAATGGAGTGAGTGCAGGAAGTGAGAGGAGATGAATTCACAGAGGGAAAGAAAACA